CCCCTCCCTCCTCACCACTTACGGATTTTTAACAGACGGCAGCATTCAAACTGAGAGCTAGCACAGGAAATGGCAAAGGTAGATCCTTCTGCTTTTAGGCTACAGAAACTTATTTCACTTTTTGTTTTTCTTTTTTTTTTGAAGCTTTTACTCTTCAGGAGGGATTTTTTGTTGCGCTTTCGTGCGTTTGGAGGGGTCCGTGACTGAAGTTTCTTTCATAACCTCTTAGACCTGCCTAAATGTATCATTCATAAATTATGTTTGCTTTATGCTGAGGTTTTATTTCTGTTTCCTGGCTCTTTAAAAAAAAAAAAAAAAAGTTATTGGCTTGTTGTTGTGATTATCACTATTATTGTTATTAGTAGTACAATTTCGGAATGTTTTCTATCGCCTAAAATAAGCGCTCAGCCCTTTGAAGGCTGGATTATCTCAGAATCTGGTCTCCAGACTCTCCATAGCCATGAAGTTCACTCTCAGCTTTTATCCTCTCTTAGCGTATCCTTATCGGCTTCCAAACTTAAACCGAAGAAGTGAATATGCCTAAAGTAATGCTCGTTACACCCCGACGCCATGTCGGCCTCTTGGTGTAAAGATCCTGGTGACCCCCCCCCCCCCGGTCCTGCTGTGTCCCTGCATCAGGACGGGGGGGGAAAAGCTCCGCACCCCCAGGTCTCCTCCACCTTCTCCATAGCAGCGATAAAGAGGCAAAATCAGCTGGAAGAAGGTGCCAGTTCTAATAAATTATAACAACCGTCTTTAAAAAGTGGCTAAATGTGTTTCCGGTAAGAAATGGCTCATCCGCTCTTTTTTCTTTCTTACGCCAAAACTTACAAATCAGTAGAAGGTGGCAATTGCACCGGCTTAAAATCTGCATATTTTGAAAATATTTTGTGTCTGGTTGTTTTCAGCTTAGAAGTGCCAACCCAAAGAGTTGTTTGTTAAGGATGGATTTTGGCAGTTGTGTATTTCAAAGCACTATTTGGAAATGATTCCTTCTCTCCACAAACAATAAAGATTATTAATAAACACTATCTGAGTTCAGAAGCCTCTGGCTTTCCATTGCAAGCTGACAATACTCCGATTTTTTCCTCACAGCTAAATACACTTGGCGCCGATTCTGAAAGCAGGAGAGTTTCCACTTCGGACTTTTTTTTTTTTAATAACTGTTTCCAGTTCCACTTCCCTTTACCAACTCACAACAATCACATATCTAAAATTAATCTAGTTTGCCAGGCGAGCAAAGCTCACACATCCTGCCTCCTCTCTCCCAAAGATTCCTCCTTTTAGACTTTTAGACTCTGCTCCGAGGTCACTTTCTCCTTGACTTTTCCTCCTCCAAGATTTCTTTTGCAAACAGAAGAGCTTTTCACGTAATTTCTGATGGGCTCCGTTTGGGGTTTTAAAATATAAACGGCTATAGAGCGTCACCCGAAACAGGCAGCACTGCACGACGTGGTCTCTCCAAGCGGGCAGACCTGGGATGAAGCTGTAGTTTGCCTTAAGCCCCTCTCAGAAAAGGCTACAAAGAGATGAGCTATGGGGATATGTATAAAAAATAAACTACTGAACAAACGGAAACCTCCAGAGGAGCAAAAGCAAATGGATTTTGCAGATCTTCTTGTGAGGTTTCCATTCACTAGGGATCTGAAAACCCTTGCTTTCTGCCTCACAGCCACACTCCTAAGAGTCTTCTTGGTTTAAATTTATATACTACAGAAAATTATATACTCACATGCTGACATAGTTCATCATTATTTATAGGAGGCGCACCAGGATTTTTTCCAAGAATATATTTATTACAGGTAAGACATGGCCAATCTATCTAGCAAACAGAGAACAGGTGTTTTGCTTCAATTAACGTTCAATAATTTCATCTATACTTATTCAACACCCTGCTACCAACACGGCTGTTTATCCGTCAGTTGTATAAACACATTTCCATGCGCCAAGCGCGTTTAATCTCCACAACACACTTAAATCAGCCCTTTCCTTTCCTTTCCCAAGCTCTCATAACATTTGCAGAGTCCCTCCGAATCTCTGGTGAAATAGTCTGATTTTTTAAAATCATTTCTGAAAGGCAATAAAGCCGAGAAATATGACAATGTGAGCAACCAGCTCGTATTTCATGCCTGACGACACAGGGTCTTTTCATTTCAGAACCTCCCCAACTCTTAGGGAAGTTACAAGAAGCGGAAAAATCAAAAAAAAAGGGAGATAGAAATGTGAAAAGTTGGAAAAAGCAGGAATTTCCCCCCTCGTTTCGCACAACCCCTGTTCGCGTGAGGTGCTCTACTGGGGAGAGCAGCGATCCATCCCCACTAGTAGGGGATTTCTCTGCCTTCACCGGTTTAAACGCGACAGGGGTGAAGTGGAGTTACTTTGGATTAACCCCCCCCTGGAAAGGAGAGGAGAGTTTGCAGGTCAGTGGGGAGTACTCACCTGGTGACATTTACCCACGGCTGGCTTGGCAAGGTCTGAGCCCAGAGGCTGGAGAGGGCTCCCCAACCACTCCTCAAACCTCACCTTGGCTGGAGCCTGCAGACTGAATCTGCTTTTCCAACACAGGGAGGGTTTTGAGCTGGTTGGGGGGCTCTTGCTACCCTGATGGATGCAAAACTCAAAAATAAATCTGACCTCCGGCATTAAGCTCCGGCTCTCCTTGCCCATCATCCCGACCCTCTCGATTTTTTTTTTTTTTTTTTCTTTTAATGAAAATGGACAGCTTCCTAATAGCGCCTCTTTTAGAGGAGCTCTGGTCCTGGACGTGGGGAAACGTGTCCCTCCATCAGGCTGCGGAGCAGATGCTGCTGGAAAAGCACCGCTTATAGGAATAAGGGAAAATCTAAGGCTTTGGGTGTAGGTTTTTCAGCGCCTTCATAATCTTCCAGTATCAGTAAAACACCTCTGATAGCAATTTCCCACATCCGTTTTGTGTAGGCACGGACATATGGACACACGCACGCACACTCTCATACAGACAGAGAAACGCGCAATATATTCTTCCTTCATCTCAGGCGGCTATTAGCACCCCCAATGTTATTATTAGCCTGTTAATATAGACTTCCATCCCCATACACTTCAGGAAGGATTCGCGATGATTTATCATTCCTAGAAATCTCTTTGCCCTTCACTTTAAATATCCTTCAGTGTTGGGGTGAGAGGGAGAAGGGCGGAGGGGTAATAGATTAAAGGAGGCAAATTGATCCAGACTGTTACAGCTGAAGTCCAGAGAAACACTTTTGCCGTAATCATGGAGCGCACCTTTTCCTTAACCAACATTTACGACGCCATCCGACCGTCTTGCAATAAACGGATTTATCATCATAACTTGGTAAAACTGACCCCGTTACCCCGCATCATTCGGGCTGGGAGCCGCACCGAGCTCTCGCCCCCTGTCAATCATTCGTTTCGGTGCAAGGAAAATCGTCGAAATCGTCGGGTTTTCGAAAACACGCGGAAAATGCGAGCAGGGGGGGAGGGCGGTTGGACACGCACACACACCGTGGGCACACACATGTGAGGTGTGAGGGGGGGCACGGTGACTGAAAACGCGAGGGATTCCTTTTTTTGCCCCCTTTCTTTTCCACAGGCAATAAATTCAAGGCTATAAAAATCAAAGAAAGCTAATGTAAGTTTTATTAAACTATTTAACCATCACAAGTTTAAGGCATTCTGTAACAAAGCCGGATCAGCGGCGCACTGTATTTTACTAGCCTTGTAAAGTTAAATGAAGGCTTCTGATTTCAGCAATGTGGGAAACTATTTTAGCCCAAGCAAAGCGACCCTGAGATTATGCCGCGAAACATGGGAACATACGTTCATAGGCGGAGATATTTTTAAGAAATTTTGATATATGTATATAAGCATAAAGTCTAAGGCGGGCTTTGGGTGTACGCGGGGGTTGCGGCTCGGCAGCTTGCTGGTCAAAGTTGCGGTGCCACGTCCACGCCAGTGGCATTTTCAATTTCATATTTACCTACATTATTTTACCATGTGAACAATCCATTTTCCCATCCCAGCTAGTTAATTATTTATAACACCCCCCCCGCCACTCTTGCCACCCAGATCCATCTTTTTCTTCACAAAAACACACATATGCCTGCATTTATGTATATATGCCCCGCCCCCCCCGGTATTTCAGGAGCAAATCTAAAGAGGGATATTAGCCCCAGCTCTGCCCGTTTGGTGGCTTTTCGAAACTCCTGACGTTTTGCAATTGCATAAAAACATAAAACAATACATC